AGGATGGAAAATAGGATTCAAAGGATGAGGATGAGGACGAGGAGATTGAGGAAATGAGAGAAGGAACGAAGAAGATAAGAGTTTAAAATTAGTTTCAGTTATATTCATTTAATTTATGAATTAAAAAATAAAATTTGTAATGTACATACATTGAAACAATTAATATTCCACTATTAAATTATTTTTTTTAAAGCAATTACCTATCAGCAAGATGAGCCTTGTCGGTGAAAATATTTTCACCGACAAGGCTCATCTTTCTAATGTCTAATTCCCTCAAAAAGGAAATTTAACTTTCAGTAAGGTTAAATAACTAATTTGATCCTTGAACTTTCAATTTTGAACCAAGTTCATCCTTAAATTTACTAAATTATCGAATTTGTCCTTAAACTTTATTTTTTTTCGTTGCCAACTTGTTAATTTTCCTTAAAATTTAAATTTAATTAACATTGTAAAATGATAATTATTTAATTATATATGTTATAACTAATTGATATTATTTAATTATTTAATTAATTACATAGATGACCAAGTTTGATTGTATATAGAAGGATTTTACTAGATAATCATAAGAAAACAAGAGGAATTGGAAAAAAAAATTGAAGAACATAAGTAAGGCAATGATATTACGGTTCTTGAATGGATCGTAATTTTTGAATGGCAGCATCCCAATACTTTTTTTCAAATGTAAAACGCCTACCATTACCAAAAATCTTTGTAATTGTTTTTGAGGACTCAACAGGGGTTTTGGGTGGATTTGACAGAAATGGTGATTGATAACGATTTGAGCAAAATTTTGCAATATGACTCTTACGGTTACACAGTTGACAAGTTACAGCATATCGGTGCGGGCAAACTATAGCTAAATGTCCAGGAGTATCACATATTTGACAAACAGAGTAGTCTACAATATTAGGCAATGGAATGTGTTGGTCAGTTAATATATTATTCTTTGCTTTTTTCAACTTCCTCTGGGGAGAACTCTGAGATGGGCAATTCCATAATGATTTAGGAGTATTCTCAATGATTCCTGTGTAAAATAACATAAAGTTAAGTAATATGACAGTAAATAGGGTGCATGAATGGGAAATGAGAAATAAGGGAAGGAAAAAAAAAGTTATACCATCATATTGGCTGTCAAAA